AATCTGTCCACATCTGTTTTTCTGTTGATTTCTCTCCGTATATTCATGTCTATTTCTTTTTTTTTTTTATGTATCCATCTAATTCAATCTGTTAATATTTTTATCTATCTTACAAAAGAGGATGCTGATATTTCTCTAAGAAATTCCAGAATAAATTCTTGTTTCCTCATTTGGTCAGATTTTGAGAAGGATTTGGGACAGAGAACTTTTCAACCCCTTCACGTAAAATTAAATTTTATCGAAAAAGATTTTTTTTTTTTTCATTTTTCCTCAAACATAATTATTCTCGCACTGTAGGAATATTTCTAAAATAAATAAATAAATACAATAATTTCATCTGATTCCCTAAGCGAGTTTCTTTATAACAATAATTATATATTTACTCATTCGTCTATTCATTTAAAAAAACTTAATTTCGTCTGGCAAAATGCAATTATTGCTATGCGATACGCAACTCGTTTGTGAATGAATGTACGACGCAAGTTGCTAAACATTACGCTATGATACATTTGATAATATCAGGTACGATAATGATGCATTTAGTAACCCCTTCGTTACAGGGTACTTTTTTGTAATACTGACTTGTAAGGTTTGAGGTTTCTTCTCTGATTTAAAATCATTTTTGTCTGTTAATGAGCATCTCCAAACCGCCTCAGATCTGACAGGTTATCCGAATAATCGATTCCAGACATACAAATAACAATGTTCTTCGAGAAAACTTTACATCTTCCGGAAGTCAGGCAAGAAAAAGAATAATTTCCGAAAAATAAACAATAATAACAATAATAATTAATATAACAAATAAAAAACTGAAGAATTTAACAAAACGTGTGGGTAATTTAAAAAAAAATGGGTGGGGGTAATTATATGCATGCAGGTCTGAGATGATTTCATTTTTTTTTATCGATTAAATTTAGTGGGAAAAATAAAAAGAAAGACAGGAAAAGGTTAAAACTGAAAGTGTGTATTGTTCCAGTCTTACCTTAATCGAAACAAAAAATGGCGACCAGAAACCTGCAATTGGAATGTTCAAAGGAGAGACAGTCCGTAGGAATGACTGTATAATCTAAGATAGGAAGGACCATTGTTACCGGGCTGCCTGTCTATTTATACTCCGCCATATCTGCGGTGGGGGATGACTTCTGGTAGAATTCTTTAAAAAGACCTAAATCCACCCCAAATGCATGGAAGAAATTTATTTCCGATAGACCAGACGACACTTTAAAGTCTACCAACATATCCCCGTTAAAATGCAAACGTTTCAAAATTTTAAAACTTTATTTTAAATAATTTGATTTAATTGCGAAAAGAGTCTGGTTCCCCTTTTAGCAGAAATGAAAGCTTCCAGCTACCTACGTGTTGCCGACAACGAATCGCGGAGGGCTGGCCGATTTTAGCAGCAGCCTTAGAACCAAACTTAAAATCCTTTTATAGGCAGATGGTAACACGAGAACGAAGCAACGGGTTACAGATGAGGGTGGGGCAGAGATATGGAGCAAATGAGGGATTCAACATTTCAGCCCTGTTTGTATTTTTAGCTGCTAATTCTAATTTCGGTACAGGAGAATGTTGCCGGTTGACGTGGGGTACTTTTTGACTTGGCTTCTCAGTTAAAAGAGAAAGCATCGTAAATTGTCCCTTTTCCCCCTTAGAATAGCCGAAGAGAAAACAAGATAGGTAAAAAAAAACTAGGAAACTTTAAAAAGTAACGATTTGCCTCTTTGCAATTAATGACTGATTCATGAATGGAGTTGCTAGTGGATCCATCAAGCAATACATGATTCTTGCAAATTGATCAATCTCAAACTGATCGTATCTATCGTATCTATCTATCTATCTATCTATCTATCTATCTATCTATCTATCTCAGATTATTTATTTCTATCTATCTATCTATCTATCTATCTATCTATCTATCTATCTATTTCAGATTATTTCTATCTATTTCAGATTATTTCGATCTATCTATCTATCTATCTATTTCAGATCATTTCGATCTATCTATCTATCTATCTATCTATCTATCTATCTATCTATCTATCTATCTATTTCAGATTATTTCTATCTATTTCAGATTATTTCTATCTATCTATCTATCTATCTATCTCAGATTATTTCTATCTATCTATCTATCTATCTATCTATCTATCTATCTATCTATCTATTTCAGATCATTTCTGATCTATCTATCTATCTATCTATCTATCTATTTCAGAGTATTTCTATCTGTCTATCTATCTATTTCAGATTATTTCTATCTATCTATCTATCTATCTATCTATCTATCTATCTATTTCAGAGTATTTCTATCTATCTATCTATCTATCTATCTATCTATCTATCTATCTATCTCTCTATCTATCTATCTATTTCAGATTATTTCTATTTATTTATCTATTTGTTTTCTTTCTATCTCAGCCTATATAATCTATCTCTTTCACACTCTCTCTTTCTCCCTCTTTCTCTCTCTGTCTCTCTCTCTCTCTCTCTCTCTATATATATATATATATATATATATATATATATATGCATGTCACGTTAAATATGATGGACGAGGAATATTTTGTATGTTTTTTTAAGTTAATTTTCTTGTTTCCTTGAAAATATTCTTTTTGGAAGACTGAGTGCGCCGAGAAAAGTCAAAACTGTAAGGACACAAGTAAAATTAATTTAAACATATTTAAGAAAACATACATAACCTACACAGCGATTTTCCAAGTCTAGCTTAGATGTGGCACAAGGCCGAAAGTATGGGGCACCCAGTGAGGATCGAACTCACTGCTCAGTTGTAATAGTTCTAGCATGAAAAGCTTGCTAAGCATTACACAAACTCGAGATGCCCTACACACACACACACACACACACATATATATATATATAATCTGATTCATAATATCTCTGTCTGTCTATCTCTTCTTCTTTCTCTCTCTCTCTTTCTTTCTCTCTCTCTCTCTCTCTCTCTATAGAGAGAGAGAGAGAGAGATAAGACGATAAAGTATATCCAACAGCAAGGCCTCTGATCAGAAGGTTTTGAGGAACGTGGAACCACCTCTTAATTGCTGTTCTAGGGTTCACTTTGAACCGGAGTGGTAGCACCTGTTAGGGTCCCAACTATGGGCAAATAGTTAACCCCTAAACTGGGCCAAAATATTATGAAAATTCAAAAATAAATTTTAATACTATCATTACATTTTTGTAAAAAATATTACCAGCCATGGATTTTTGAAGATAAAATTGTTACCGGCAATACATTTTTGGAAAAAAAATTACCAGCAATAAAAATCTTGTCGGCATTAAATAACCCACTGAGGTTTATATGCCGGAAAACAAACGAAACCAAACCAAACCAAATGAAACCAACCCAAACCAAACGAAACCAACCCAAACCAAACGAAACCAAATATCAAACACTGGTAGAAAATGACTGTCGCAAGATATTATGCAGCACAAAAACTTGATCTTATTCTGATCGATAAGGAAATTAGTAACTGTCAAATAATTGATTTTGTTGTTCCATACGATACAAGGGTGAAGCCCAAAGAAACTGAAAAGGTTGAAAAAATACCAGGATCTGGCAACGGCCATTCAATATGGCCAACAAGAAAGATTGAATTAATTTTTTATCTAGTTTTCCAGCATCCTAACATTTTTTCCATTTTATAGGAGCTAAGAAATATAAAAAATTTCCATAATTTTTATTCTCCTAAACGCTTTCGGCAACTTCTATGGCCATTTTCAAGGCTGTTTTGTTGTTATTTTTTCCCTCATGTTTTGATTGTTACGTTCTAAATTATGTTTATGTTGTTCTTTAAAACAAGGAGCGTTCATTCCAAGCTCTCACGATTGGAATTCGCGTGGACATCGTTCTATTTTATTTTTATTTAAAAAAAAAAAGTTTCAATACTTCATTTCCACTATTAAATAATGTAAGGTTGACGGTACGGTGGAGCAATGGATAGCGGCTCGGATTGAGGAATCGTAGAACCAAGTTCCATTACATTCACTTATGTGCTAATACCCTTGGGAAAGATATGAATTATCTTCTTCTCCACTCCCCCAGCTATGTAAATAGCAGGACAGACCGGGTTCTATAGCCTTGGATGGCAACTTGTCTACCGCAGAAAGAAATGGCAACCTACTGCGGAAAAAATCAGCCTCGTCAGTCATGTATCAAAAGATACATGATCGCCTAAGCATGTATCACGCATGGCACATAACTGACTTTAAGGGAGGTACGGTGGCGTAATGGATAGCGAATCGGAGAGCCGAGTTCAAATTCCAGTCAAATCCATTACATTCACTTACGTGCCAATACCCTTGGAAAAGGTATGAATCCTCTTCTTCTCTCTCCAGCTATGGGTAAATAGCAGGACAGACCAAGTTCTATAGCCTTGGATGGTAACCGCAGAAAGAAATGGCAACCTACTGCGGGAAAAAAAATCTGCTTCGTCAGTCATGTATCGAAAGAAACATGATCGCCTAAGCATGTATCACGCATGGCACATAACGGACTGAAGACCTGTGGTAGGAGGGAATTGAGCGATACAGTAGAATATTTTCGCGACATAAATAGTCTATGGTTTTTCCTTATTTATATCCGTCTCCAAGAAGATTTCTTCAAATTATCCCAATGTTTGTGTGTGATTTTGTTTCATTCTTGCTGTAGTTTCGGCCAGAAAACAGTCACTGCCATCGCTTTTTCTTTACCACTACGTCATCATTTCTAACCTTGGAATGGTAACAGTACTGGTAATGTTAGCCGTTTCCCTATAAGGAAACATTTGGAATTCATTGACCTAGCAGCCATTACTGCTTTCGGATGAAATTTATAAATGTTTCTCTTAAAACATTTAAAAAAACAATAACAAAGTCCAGTAGATGTTATCGATCTTTCAATTATTGATGGAGGTTTCCTTCCTAACATTTTATTTGAAGTAGCGTGGAATGTCAACATCTTGATTATGCCATTATTGTCTCTTCTCGTTAAATGCACTATCTGCTTACGGCCACATCGCGTTGAGACATTGATTCCCGTACGATCACCAAAGTTAAGCAACGTCAAGCCTGCTCAGTACCTAGATGAGTGGCCGCTTGGGAATACCAAGTGCCGTAAACAGGGATGTGCGTGTGGTGTAATGGATTTGTTAATTGGAGAGCAGAGTTTCAATTCCCGTTGGGTTCAATATATTCACTGACATGCAAATACTTTTGGTATCTATGCTGATGACACAACCATTTACTCTCGTCTCGATAGTAAGTCTAATCGGTCCGATGTCAAATTGGCGGCTGATGTCGAAAACTGCTTTCAGTCTGTTGTTTACTGGGGCAAAGGATGGCTTGTTAATTTTAACACCTCCTAAATTAAACCACTTTCTATTAATAATCCGAGAAACTTTTTTCTGCCTTCCATCAGTATGGCTGATGCTGACCTCCTGGAGAGTGACTAATTTTACCTTCTCGGACTAACGTGGCCTGTGAAAATGGAAAGACTATACTGAATCCATTTCTAGGTCAGCTGCTAAGAAAGTTGGCTCACTGGGTCTTTCTCTCCTGAATCTATCTTACATATCTATAAGTCTACCATTCGTCCATGCTTAGAATATTGCTACCACATATGGTCTGGTGCACCGGCTATTTACCTTGAGCTTCTCGATAAAATCCAAAGAAGAATCAGCAATATTAATGGTCCTGACCTGGCGGCTCGCAAGATTGCATCCCTGTGCCTTTTCTATAAATATTTTCATGGCAATTATTCGGATAAACTCTTCACTATCGTTACTACACTTTATGGATTTAAGTAGAGTACTAGACTGGCGATGAGGTCTCATCAATTTACAGTTGAGTTGGCTACATGTAACCGTAAGTTCTATGTTAATAGTTTATTTTCTTGCACTTCTCATTTGTGAAACTCTTTTGGACCCATGCTTTCCAGCGAACTTTAATCTGCAAAAATTTAAATGCAATGTCAATCGCTATCTACTGCCCTCCTGATTACTCTTCTTTTGTTTCTAAACCTTAGTAATGTTCCCGTTTTCTACTTCTTCTACTGCCAGTAACTCTTTATGTCCTAGTGGCTACATTGTTTTCCTTTGTCTCTCTTTCCCTCAAACTGTACTGTGAGTATCAGATTTTCCAAGCTCTCTTTCCTCATTATGTGTCCTAGAAACCTCAAGTGTATCTTGATGTTAAGTATAAGTGTCCTTTTTGTTCCCATTTGCTCTAAAACTTTGTCGTTGTCCGCATGTTCGGTCCATGGTATCCTCAGCATCCTTCTGTAGAACCACATTTTTGTTGCTTCAAGTCTTTTTTTCATCTTTAAGGAGATTGCCCAGCATTCATTTCCAGATAGAAGGACAGATATCAAGTAGCAGTTTAGTATTATTTTCCTTGTTTCCATCGAAGTTTTTCCTGTTTCTTAATACCCTGCTTAGCTTTTGGAAAGCATCTTTGGCTATCCCAATACGCCTTCGGATGTCAGTGTCGCATTTTCCGTCTTCTGTTAAAACACATCCCAGATATTTAAACTTCAAGCCCTTAATACTCCAGAAATATCATCACCGAGTGGACCCCCCACCCCGGATTTTTGTCTATCACGATGAGCGGGTGTTTCTCTCTAAAGCGCCTGTTGGGTCTTCAGCTTATCCCAGAGACCTCAAGTGGAACTTGTACATACGATCCGTCGCTAAAGTTGCTTGGAAAATGATCAGTTTCCGGTCACCACTTTCCAGTTTCGGTAAAGTCCAAAAGCGTATACGCGGCCTTGTGGGTGATTAATTATTTTCCAACCTACTACCTCATTTGTACCTTTATCACTATTTGTAAGCTTCCACCAGTTCTGACCTTCACAGCTATGACCCATCATGCCACGCATATTGTAGCGAAACACTCTCATTCACTTTCGATTTGTGAGATGTAAGTTCCACTCAAACGACACGAGCAGCTGCTTTGTGGAACCGACTCCCAAGTAGATGCTTCCCCGATCACTACAATCTTAACCTGTTCAAGTCAAGGGTTAAGTTCTCTTTCCTGTATATACTGATAAATTGTATCTATTTCTTTATAACCCTCTACCTCGAGTGGCTCATGAGTCTTGTACAGGGTGAAAGTTATTGTAAATAAATTGATACTCTTAGAGCTTTTAACTTTTTTTTACATGAGCCCTTAGCAGTGTTGGTCTTTTGGCCATCTTTCTTTATTTCAGTTCTGACAATGATTAGCGCAAGTTACTTCTTTTTCTTTTGAGTGCCATGTCCCTTCAAGGCGTGGGTGATCATGGCTCTCCACTACATCCTGTCCTTTGTACCAATGAGTAATATTGGTATTTTTGTTATATTTACTAATCCCTGTTCTACAACCAATTACACAAACTTCCTCTGTGTGCTTTCTCTTCAGGACGTCGGTGATCATGGCTCTCCACTACTTCCTGTCCTTTTACCTCTTAGCTGTGTTGGTCCTTTTGCTATTTCTCTTAATCCCTGTTCTGCCAATCATTTACACAAGCTCCCTCTTCTTCTTTGTGGGTGATCATGGCTCTCTACTACTTCCTGCCTTTTGTACCACTTAGCTGTGTTGGGGATAGAAGAAAGGTGTCACGGATGCCAAAAATATAAGAAGCAACAACGACATACCATGAAACATCAAGCAGACCCCCCTCCACACACACACAGTCAGAGCAAACCTAATTGTGATAAACAAAGAAAGATCTAATTGTGGACTGTTACTATTCCAAGTTCCTGTTAGATTTTATAAACTTGAATAATTCAATTATTGCATTACAATACGAACATTTTAAGGGATAGGTGTGGCCAACAGGAACCATACCGTTTTTTTTTCTTTCATTTTAAATGCACTGTTGAAATGATAAACACCCCATCATTCTGGAATTGCGTGTACCACCATGGAAGGCATTATACGGATGGGTGAGGGAGGGATATTACAGATGAGTGAGGGAGGGATATTACGGATGGGTGAGGGAGGGATATTAAGGATGGGTGAGGGAGGGATATTACGAATGGGTGAGGGATGGATATTACGGATGGGTGAGGGAGGGATATTACGGATGGGTGAGGGAGGGATAATACGAATGGGTGAGGGAGGGATATTACAGATGGGTGAGGGAGAGAAATTAAGGATAAATGAAGGGGGATATTGCGGATGGGTGAGGGAGGGATATTAAGAATGGGTGAGGGAGGGGTATTACGAATGGGTGAGGGAGGGATATGAAGGATGAGTGAAGAAGGGATATTACGAATGGGTGAGGGAGGGATATTACGAATGGGTGAGGGAGGGATATTACGAATGGGTAAGGGAGAGATATTAAGGATGAATGAAGGAGGGATGTTACGAATGGGTGAGGAAGGGATATTACGAATGGGTGAGCGATGGATATTACGAATGGGTGAGGGAGAGATATTAAGGATAAATGAAGGAAGGATACAGCGGATGGGTGAGGGAGGGATATTACGAATGGGTGAGGGAGGGATATGAAGGATGAGTGAAGAAGGGATATTACGAATGGGTGAGGGTGGGATATTACGAATGGGTGAGGGAGGGATAATGACTGATGGTGGAGAAGGATATTACGAATGGGTGAGGGAGGGATATTACGAATGTCTGGTGTGGGATATTAAGGATGAGTGAGCGAGGGATATTACGGATGGGTGAGGGAGGGATATTACGGTTGGGTGAGGGAGGGATATTACGAATGGGTGAGGGAGAAATATTAAGGATGAATGAAGGAGGGATGTTACGAATGGGTGAGGAAGGGATATTACGAATGGGTGAGCGATGGATATTATGGATGGGTGGGGGAGGGATATTACGGTTGTGTGAGGGAGGGATATTACAGGTGGGATATTACGAATGGTTGAGAAAGGGATATTACGGGTGGGTGAGGGAGGGATATTACGGATGGGTGAGGGCGGGGTATTATGGTTGGGCGAGGGAGGTATATTACGAATCAGTGAAGGAGGGATATTACGAATTGGTGAGGGAGGGAAATCACGGATGGGTGAGGGAGGGATATTATGGATGGGTGAGGGAGAGATATTACAAATGTGTGAAGGAGGGATATCACGGATGAGTGAGGGAGGGATATTACGGAGGGCGAGGGACGGATATTATGGGTGGGTGAGGGAGGGATATTACGGTTGGGTGAGGGAGGGATATTACGGGTGGGTGAGGGAGAGATATTACGGAGGGTGAGGGAGGTATATTAAAGATGAGTGAAGTAGGGATATTACGGATGGGTGAGTGAGGGATGTAATGAATGGGATATTACGGATGCATGAAGGAGGGATATTACGGATTCGTGAGGGTGGGATATTAAGCATGAGTGAAGGAGGGATATTACGAATGGGTGAGGGAGGGATATTACGAATGGGTGAGTGAGGTATATTACGAATGGGTGAGGGGGGGATATTACGGGTGGCTGAGCGAGGGATATTACGAATGGGTGAGGGTGGGATATTTCAGATGAGTGAAGTAGGGATATTACGGATGGGTGAGGAAGGGAAATCACGGATGGGTGAGGGAGGGATATTACGGATGGGTGAGGGAGGGATATTACGAATGGTTGAGGGAGAGATATTAAGGATAAATGAAGGAGTGATATTGCGGATGGGTGAGGGAGGGGTATTACGAATGGGTGAGGGCGGGATATGAAGGATGAGTGAAGAAGGGATATTACAAATGGGTGAGGGAGGGATATTACGGATGGGTGAGGTAGGGATATTATGGGTGGGTGAGGGAGGGATATTACGCTTGGGTGAGGGAGGGATATTACGTGGGTGAGGGAGAGATATTACGGAGGCTGAGGGAGTATATTACGAATGGGTGGGGGATATTAAGGATGAGTGAAGGAGGGATATTACAAATGGGTGAGGGAGGGATATTACGAATGGGTGAGGGAGGGATATTAAGGATGAGTGAAGGACGGATATTACGAATGGGTGAGGGAGGGATATCACGGATGGGTGAGGGAGGGATATTACGAATGGATGAGGGAAGGATATTACGAATGGGTAAGGGAGAGATATTAAGGATGAATGAAGGAGGTATATTACGAATCGGTGAGGGAGGGATATTACAGACGAGTGAAGGATGAATAGGTGAGGTAGGGATATTACAGATGAGTGAAGTAGGGATATTACGGATGGGTGAGTGAGGGATATTACGGATGCGTGACGGAGGGATATTACGAATGGGTGAGGGAGGGATATTACGGATGGGTGAGTTAGGTATATTACGAATGGGTGAGGGAGGGATATTACAGGTGGCTGAGGGAGGGATATTATGCATGGCTGAGGGTGGGATATTACAGATGTGTGAAGTAGGGATATTACGGATGGGTGAGGAGGAAATCACGGATAGGTGAGGGAGGGATATTACGGATGGGTGAGGGAGAGATATTACGAATGGTTGAGGGGAGATATTAAGGATAAATGAAGGAGGGATATTGCGGATGGGTGAGGGAAGGGTATTATGAATGGATGAGGGCGGGATATGAAGGATGAGTGAAGAAGGGATATTACGAATGGGTGAGGGAGGGGATGAATGGGTGGGGGGGGATATTACAGACGAGTGATGGATGAATAGGTGAGGTAGGGATATTACAGATGAGTGAAGTAGGGATATTACGGATGGGTGAGTGAGGGATGTTATGAATGGGTGAGGGAGGGATATTACGGATGTGTGAGGGAGGATATTACGGATGCGTGAGGAGGATATTAAGCATGAGTGAAGGATGGATATTATGAATGGGTGAGGGAAGGATATTACGGATGGGTTGGTGAGGTATATTACGAATGGGTGAGGGTGGAGTATTACGGGTAGCTGAGGGAGGGATATTACGAATGGGTGAGGGAGGGATATTACGAATGGTTGAGGGAGAGATATTAAGGATAAATGAAGGAGGGATATTGCGGATGGGCGAGGGAGGGATATTACGAATGGGTGAGGGCGGGATATGAAGGATGAGTGAAGGAGGGATATTACGAATGGGTGATGGCAGTATATTACGAATGGGTGAGGGAGGGATATTACGAATGAGTGAGGGAGGTATATTACGAATGGGTGAGGGAGGGATATTAAGGATGAGTGAAGGAGGGATATTACAAATGGGTGAGGGAGGGATATTACGAATGGGTGAGGGAGGGATATTAAGGATGAGTGAAGGACGGATATTACGAATGGGTGAGGGAGGGATATCACGGATGGGTGAGGGAGGGATATTACGAATGGATGAGGGAAGGATATTACGAATGGGTAAGGGAGAGATATTAAGGATGAATGAAAGAGGTATATTACGAATGGGTGAGGGAGGGATATTACAGACGAGTGAAGGATGAATAGGTGAGGTAGGGATATTACAGATGAGTGAAGTAGGGATATTACGGATGGGTGAGTGAGGGATATTACGGATGGGTGAGTTAGGTATATTACGAATGGGTGAGGGAGGGATATTACAGGTGGCTGAGGGAGGGATATTATGCATGGCTGAGGGTGGGATATTACAGATGTGTGAAGTAGGGATATTACGGATGGGTGAGGAAGGGAAATCACGGATAGGTGAGGGAGGGATATTACGGATGGGTGAGGGAGAGATATTACGAATGGTTGAGGGAGAGATATTAAGGATAAATGAAGGAGGGATATTGCGGATGGGTGAGGGAAGGGTATTATGAATGGATGTGGGCGGGATATGAAGGATGAGTGAAGAAGGGATATTACGAATGGGTGAGGGAGGGATAATACGAATGGGTGAGGGGGGATATTACAGACGAGTGATGGATGAATAGGTGAGGTAGGGATATTACAGATGAGTGAAGTAGGGATATTACGGATGGGTGAGTGAGGGATGTTACGAATGGGTGAGGGAGGGATATTACGGATGCGTGAGGGAGGGATATTACGGATGCGTGAGGGAGGGATATTAAGCATGAGTGAAGGATGGATATTATGAATGGGTGAGGGAGGGATATTACGGATGGGTTGGTGAGGTATATTACGAATGGGTGAGGGTGGAGTATTACGGGTAGCTGAGGGAGGGATATTACGAATGGGTGAGGGAGGGATATTACGAATGGTTGAGGGAGAGATATTAAGGATAAATGAAGGAGGATATTGCGGATGGGCGAGGAGGGGATTACGAATGGGTGAGGGCGGGATGAAGGATGAGTGAAGGAGGGATATTACGAATGGGTGATGGCAGTATATTACGAATGGGTGAGGGAGGGATATTACGAATGAGTGAGGGAGGTATATTACGAATGGGTGAGGGAGGGATATTAAGGATGAGTGAAGGAGGGATATTACAAATGGGTGAGGGAGGGCTGTTACGAATTGGTGAGCAAGGGAAATTATGGATGGGTGAGGGAGGGATACTACAGTTGGGTGAGGGAGGGATATTACGAATGGGTGAGGGAGAGATATTAAGGATGAATGAAGGAGGGATATTACGAATGGGTGAAGGAGGGATATTACGGATGGGTGAGGGAGGGATATTATGGATGGGTGAGGCAGGGATATTACGGTTGGGTGAGGGGGGATATTACGAATGGGTGAGGGAGGGATATGAAGGATGAGTGAAGAAGGGATAATATGAATGGGTGGGGGACGGACATTCCGAATGTTTGAGGATGGGATATTTCGGATGGTTGCAAGAGTCATAATACGGATTGGTGGGGAGGGATATTACGAATGGGTGAGGGAGAGATATTAAGGATGAATGAAGGAGGGATATTACGGATAGGTGACGGAGGGTTATTACGAAGGATGAGGGAGGGATATTACGAATTGGTGAGGGAGGGAAATCACGGATGGGTGAGGGAGGGATATTACGGATGGGTGAGGGGGGATATTACGAATGGGTGAGGGGGGATATTTCGAATGGGTGAGTGAGGGATATTAAGGATGGGTGAAGGAGGGGTATCACGGATGAGGGTGGGAGGATATTACGGATGGGTGAGGAGGATATTACGAATGGGTGAGGGAGAGATATTAAGGATGAATGAAGGAGGGATATTACGGATGGGTGAGGGAGGGATATTACGAATGAGTGAAGGAGGGATATGAAGGATGAGTGAAGGAGGGATATTACGAATGGGTGAGGTAGGGATTTTAAGGATGATTGAAGGAGGGCTATTACGTATGGGTGATGGAGGGATATTACGGATGGGTGAGGGAGGGATATTACGAATGGTGAGCGAGGAATATTACGGATGGGTGAGGGAGGGATATTACGGTTCGGTGAGGGAGGGATATTACGAATGCGTGAGCGAGGGATATTACGAATGGGTGAGGGAAGGATATTACGGATGGGCTGAGGGAGGTATATTACGAATGGGTGAGGGGTATATTACAGATGAGTGGGGGAGGGATATTAAGGATGAGTGAGGGAGGGATATTACATATGGTTGAGGGAGGGATATTACAGACGAGTGATGGATGGATATAACAGGCTGAATTTTCCGGATCCATATTAGTGCTTGTGATGGATGAATGGTGAATTTGAGGTTCAGTCTTGTTTAGAATCTTGGCGAATATGAGTTTGATATATTGAGGACAAGAACGAAATAAAAATATGTATCTAAACCTATAAAATGAGATGAATGTGTTCCCTGAGAGGATTGCGACCTGGGACAACGAAACCCAAAACAGTAAAACTTATAGGTTCCAGATTTACCCATCATGCCACGCTCATTGTAGCGAACCGCCCTCATTGCCTTCATAAAAACCTGGTGAAATGTAAGTTACAATCGAGCAGTTTCTTCCAAAGAACCGCTGCCCGGTGGAATCGACTCCCAATAGACTGCTTCCCCGATTACTACAATCTTAACCTGTCTAGGATTATCCGTTATCTTCGGCGCATATCCGCGTAAGCTATACCTCTTACTTTGTAAACCTCTACCTTGAGTGGCTCTAGGGTCTTCTACAGGGTGCAAAACCACCGTAAAAAAATGCTGGGATTGTTTTGAAAAATCTGATTTGCAAAAAGTACGTTCTTTATTTTCTAGAGTCATGGCCTACACGTCAGCCTGCTCTGGGCTGAGTCAATAGGGAGATTATAGTTTCCTACGACGAGTCAGTGACCCATCGATGACAGAAAGGGGGATTTTTAATAAAACAAGACGGCTAGAACCCATTTGACTGAGTGACATTTGGCCGAGAGTCCTTTGACCGAACAGACATTTCGCCGACGGACATTTCACCGAAAAAGTACAAGCAAAAATAGTACCAAGCAATACTTTAAGTATTTTAATAAGCAGTATTATAAGGTAGAATAGGACTAATAATTATCACTGAATTTCAAGTGATTAAATTACGAAATCTAAATTTAAAGTTAAATGTTATCTTAATTCAATATTTGTTTACAGAAATTATTATTTTAAAAAATATTTGAGTGTATTTGGGTAAAAATTAACAGCTAATTATTTAAATTCATATTTAACAGTAAGATAAAAGCTAGTTCATCCCTTTAAGATAATGATCATTAAAAGCGAAATTGAAATATCTTTCATATCATAAAAGCTTAAGATTTTTGCTGTAGTAAAATCTGCTTTTTTCTCAAAATACTTATCATCTTACACTAATAATTTAAAATATAATCTTCAAGTTTTGGGGTTCACCACTGCTGTGACCTGGTATTGAACTCACAAGCTTCAGGACACATGGCCCAGTGGATAAAGACGTTGGCTAGATCCAGTGATTAGACTCAAATAGTCGTGAGTTCAATACCAGGCCACAGCAATGGTGAACAACAAAAAAAAAAAAAAAACAACAAAAATCTTGGAGAGCTGAGTTAAAGGGAAATAACTGAGACATCCAGAAGAGGCATGGCACGTAGAACTAGAACAATCTACCCAGGTGGATGAAATAAGGAGTTCGGTTCGAAATTCCACTCACCTGAAGAAGGCCGGAACGTACAAGGGTCGAAACTTTGTGAATATGTCAATGAACGATACAGTCCGAATAATGTAAATAATACAAGTAATCATAATACCTCATCTCTGAGATATAGAGGCCGAAACGTTGTGAATATGGCAATGTAGATGAGGATAACACTCCGAATAATGTAAATAATACAAGTAATCATAATACCTCATCTCAGAGATATAGACGGAACTTCAAAATTCATATGAAAAATGGAACTTGTCTGGTGAATGATTGTAAAACAATCTTTTGTATGAGTCATAACACTTGTTTGAAAATATTGTTCTAGGACCGAATCGACCATATGTTCAGAGGGATAAGATGGTTGTGTATCAGTCCATGGAATATCCTAGTTGTCACATAATGATTTATATGCTGTCTTCAATTTGATGAATGATGTGGCTGGCAAAACTCAACCCTCATGGGCATAAAAACCGATGTGCAAATAAACTTATAAACGTTGCATGTACATTATCTTTAATATTACAATTATTTCAGTGATTTATTTAAATAAATATACTTATTTTAAATGTTATAGACACAACGTTTCAACTGTTATACCTTTGGGGCTTTTTCAGGTGTCTGTTATAGTTGGTAATATTCTGGAAATTTAAAACGGGATCCTTTATTCCATCAACAAGAGTAGATTGTTTTCATTCCACCAGAAAAGGAAGGGCTCATTCCACCGGCGATGCAAAAAATTATCCCACCGGTAAAGCAGGAGGCACTGCAGCGTTTGGCTAGCAAGCGCTACCAGGGTCAGGTAATTAGGCATAAGTTCGACTCTGAGGTCGACTGACGATATGTGTGAGGCGTTTCGGCGGCATTTCGAGAGTTGGTTTACCAAGGAGCCTGGTCTCTGTGACGAAGAGTTTCACAGATATTTGGCTGACTTTCCTCGGCTTTCGCCAACTAAAACGGCTAGCTGTGAGAGGAGATCACAGAGGGCGAGGTCTACGCGCCATTGAAGAAGGTAGGCAGAGGCAAGTCCCCAGGACTTGATGGTTTGCCCTGTGAATTGTACAAGAGACTGTTGCACATCTTTGTTCCAATTTTAACTGTTGTGTTCAACGACTGGTTCCGCCAGGGGTCCGTCCCCGACCGGTTCTCAGGTGGTGTCATCACGCCGTTGAAAAAGGGCAAGGGTGGTGAGTTTGGTTTGGTTTGTTTTGTTTTACGTCATATCAACCTCAAAAGGGTGATGGGCGGGATTTAGATGATTACAGGCCCATAACTCTTCTAAACATAGAGTTAAAGATTTGGGCCGAGATCCTGACAGAGCGTTTGCAGTCATTTGCCGAGATTCTGTTGGGACCTGAGCAGACTTGTACTGTGAAGGGCCGAATAATTCAGAGTAAACTGCATTTGATCCGCACGATCATAGAGAGGGTAAGAGATGACGAGGAAGCCGCGCTGATCAATTTGGATCAATCCAAGGTATTTGATAGGATCGACCATCATTACCTGGCTGTTGTGCTGTAAGCCGCCGGATTGGAACCCGACTTAGTGGATTAGCCTGCTGTATCGCGCCCCCTGTGCTGTCGTACAGGTGAACAGAAAGCAGCTTTTGCGCTGTCATGGTCGGTTCGTCAGAGTTGTTCATTGTCACCCCTACTTTCCGTTTTTACATTGGGGCCTTTCCTTCACTGAGGGACAGAGTGTGCAGTCCGGCTCTACGTGGAATCGCTGTCCCTGGAGGCCGATGAGGTATCTACTTTCGTCTCGTCCCGCAGCGACATTGAGGTGGTACTGGAAGCGCTTGAACGGTACGAAAATGCCACGAGGACCAAGATTAACCACCACTTCAGGCTTGCTGTTAGGTGCATGGAAAGAGGTTCATCTTCCGGGGATCTTTGGTTGGGCCAGCGGTTCTGTCCACATTCTCGGAATGTGGTTTGGAACCGACCTCCAGCTGGAGAAAACTTGGTCAGAAGTAGAAATAAAGATCGACGCGGCGGTCGTGACTTGGCGCCGAAGGAGGGTTGTCCGTGAAGGGCAGAGCTAAAGCGTGTGCCGCATGGGTCTTTCCTGTTGACCATTACCGCTTGTCTTTACTTCTCATATGAAGGCGATCGAACGTTTGCTCTCCTTCCTCTTGTGGGGGCAACGCAAACATCAAGTCAACAGAGAAATCTGTGCCCAATGTCCGTGTCATTGGTGATGGGGCTGGGAATGTCGCACTTGGCGAGTCACAAACATGCCTCAAGGCTTGTTTTCTTACGCCGCGCCTTGACAGGAGACTCGATTTTTGGTGGGGAGTCTGAGGGCCAACTTCTCTTACTTTACTATCACTCCTACCATCTCGCGGGCCGAGCGCGTTTTGTAAGCCCCGAGATCAACTGAGTTTCCTCCTTGAGTATCGATCCTTAAGGGTCATTCATCGGTCCAGTGACCTTTCTCGGCCTAGGGGAGTCTTCTATCGTGAACTAGTTAAGAGGGTCGCGAAGAATCCACTTCGCGACCCGCTCGGCTTGTCGGTGGACGAGTTGCGCTCAGTTTTGATCTTGGGCGTCAGCGTCGGTTTACCTCATTCTCTTGTTTTTTTCTTTTTTTAATGATGATGATTTCTGGACATTTTTATAACAGGTAGTTATATAAACACCCACCTGAGAGGAAAGACTATATATATACTTTTTTAATTTTTTTATTTTAGGATATTACATCAAAACATGTCAAAAAACGCTACACAATTGTAGTGATGTTTCGATGCGTATCAACGCATCTCATCAGGTGTTGGTAAATGATTGGTAAGTAAACGATGGACTCGCATCGAAACACGACTGCAATTGTGTAGCGTTTTTTGACATGTTTTGATATAATATCCTAAAATAAAGAATATTGCTCTACTTTGTATTGAGACCTCTTTTAAATTAAATGCTGCGATCGTTGGAATTGTATTCTATTTGTTCTCATTTACATGGATATATATATATATATATATATATATATATATATATATATATATATATATATATATATAATTTTAGTACTTTAAACATTATTTTTGTGGATGCACGTGTTTGAGTAGACGCTAAGTTCTTAAACAGTATTTATTATGTCTACAGTCTGTGCATTCAAGAAACTTTACAATGAACTCTTGGAGGCACGGTGGAATAATGGATAGCGACTCGGATTGGGGAATCGGAGAGCCGCGTTCGAATTCCAGTCGAATCCATTACATTGACTTACGTTCTAATACCCTTAGCAAGACAGACCGGGTTCTCTAGCCTTGGATGGCAACTGGTCTACCGCAGAAATAAATGGCAACCTACTGCGGGAAAAAAATCTGCCCCGTCAACCATGTATCGAAAGATACATGGTCGCCTAAGCGTGTATCACGCCTGGTACATAACGAACTCACTGACTCTCCGGCAGGTTTCGAACTTGCGCCTCCCTTGTTAGCGAAAAACCGCCGTCTGATCCGGTGTAAATCTATTAACTGTTTAAAAATGTTTTGCATAATTGTCATATCGGAAGAAAATGAGTAACTACCGACACCGAGGTTCGAACGTGACACTCAGGACTTATGAATGTTTTCCGCCAGGTGTATAAAAAGCAGTGTCAGTGACTATTGAGTGGAAATATCCAGT